GACGTTCCACTAAAGAGCTGCAATGTTCGTATAGATTTGTATATCGATCACGCCGATATAATGATAAAATATTTTTTTTGGATAGCTACTGTACATGTAACCTGGGAATGATTTTTTTTCACCATCCACTAATTAAATCCAGTAATTTTAAATTACCTATTCAACGATATCTCATTGTGTGGGATACTAATTTTCAATTTAGGAATCCGTCTGCGAAATATTCAACGTTTAAGTGCTAATTTTTGTTTGAGTAGGGCGTCCCTAAAAGCTATCTATTGGCTTAAAAACCTAGAAAAATTCATGATCATAGTGCTTTTCAAGAAATTTTAAGGAAAACCTTAACGGAGCAGATAGATTTGTTAGTTTAGGAGTAATAGTGGTTTAACTTTCTTAAAAGAAAAATCATTAGAAGAAAACATTAATAGGTCACTATAGAATAATAATAGATGAAGTTATTGTAGCGTAAAACCTTGCATTCCAACAAAATCTAAAAAAAAGCTATTTAAAAACACAGTAAAATATCATCAGCGCTACCACGAGTACCAACGGCAACAACTTCTGAGTCGCGCTAACATTATGAAAGCACTTGAAAAGATCAATTCAGGTGAATCTTTTAGACATTAAAATTCCGATATAGCCTTGCAGCCGGCTGTAGGATATCCGTGAGGATTTCACAGCCGCTCTCCCGACTGAGAGGAAAAAATTTGGTTTGGAGAGGTGGTTATTATAAAGAGTATTTAAAAGAAAATTAATATCGAATTAATTTTGAAGATGTTTGAATGATTGAGACCCAGTTTGACTTTGATTTAGGTATTTTAGTTGAGATACATAGATTGATATTAATTGGTTTTTCTTATTTCCGATATAGAAAATAAGAAAAGCTCAAATATATTGTGGTAGCAACAGGCAACGCAACCCTACACTGCGCGTGACACGACACGCACTTATTTTGAAAGAGGCGAATTCTTGAAATTAACTTTTATAGAGCAGTCCAATAAGTAATTAAAGGAAAGATTGCCTGATACTCCATCTCATACGATGTTATGCGTAAAAGATAACGGCTATATAATTATGCTATTAAATCTTAAGAGATTTAAAAACATATCTGTACCTGTCTTGATTATGAGCGAAGCGACACAATTCTGGACTTAAACGAAGTAAAGCTTAACTTCCTAGCGCTATCATAAATTTATGCTCGTCCACCACAGAGCAAACTCACTTTTCACCGCGAAATCCGCGGTGTGATATGAAATTAGAATACAAATTTCAAATCACACCGCGGATTCCTCGCTAATGTGAGGTTATTCTTACAGAATAGCCTGCTGAACCCCAGCTCACTCTTCCTCGTTAGAACTTTAGAAAAACACCAAATGAAACCATTTACAATAAAAAGAATTTCATATTAATATATCAAAGGTTGACTCCCAGACAGGAATTCTTTCCTATACTGCTATTGGGCTTAATTTACCGGAACCGGACCCAACTCCCAACAGTTTCATCCATCATCCATCCATCAGCCTTTTTCCGTCCACTGCAGGACATAGGCCTCCCCCATAGAACGCCACAATGCGCGGTCCTGCGCTATCCGCATCCAGCGGCTCCCAGCACATTTGACGATGTCGTCAGTCCACCGTGTTGGGGGCCGCCCCACGCTGCGTCGTCCGGTACGTGGTCGCCACTCGAGGACCTTTCTTACCCAACGGTTGTCAGGTCCTCGAGCGATGTGGCCTGCCCATTGCCACTTCAGCGTGCTAACTCTTCGGGCTATGTCGTACACACCGGTCCTTCTACGGATCTCCGTATTCCGGATCTTATCACGTAGGGAAACACCGAGCATAGCCCTCTCCATAGCACGCTGCGCGACTTTGAGTTTTGTCATGAGGCCGACATTCAGAGACCACGTCTCAGTCCCATAAGTCATCACTGGTAACACACACTGGTCATAGACCTTTCTTTTCAGGCACTGGGGAATTTTGGCCGACAGTTTGAGTCTACTCATTTGTTTGAAAATTGTTTATTGGACAATTCTGACTACATTGTTAATCTATTAATGTTTAATGTGATGGAAGTTGATATCAGTAGGTGTTTTAAAGTTCTGGTGTCACCTTTCAATTGACTACAATGTATTAAAGGAGGGAAAAAATACCGTTACTAAGTTTCTTGCCAGTCCTTCCCAGTAAGGTCTGCCACTGTCGTGGACTTGTAAACCGATGACGTAATTTTTGACGTTCAATTTCAGCTAGACTGAAGAAATAAAGTGTTTGAGTTTTTAATGGTCGCTCCGCTCTCAGTCAAAGGCGACATTAATCAACAAAAAAATCGAATCTTTAGACTATTGTTTGACTTTGAGTTGCAGATTAGCATAATTTAACGCTCAGCAGTCATTTAAATAAATGTGAAGTCGTCTCGCTCGCTGTGTAAGATTTTAACTGGCAACGATTCGTGATCACTTTTCATTGTTTTTAACCCTTTACCACTTACCGCTTATTTTCGTTCTCTAACCACCTTATGTGCAGTCTCAGTGACCACTGGTAGACTATGAATTGTTTTTTGGTACCTTTATCAATAATAAAATAACCGAAGAAATAGAATTATGTTTTATACTCTAGAGCTCCGTTTAAGAGCCACTTATGAAAAAAACATATAAATATTATAATGTACTTAATTTAAAACAAAGTAATAGCTTCAAACATTTTTAAAAGTATTGTTTATTTCTTTCTATTTATTTTGTGTAGGGTGGTTAAGGGTCAAATAGGGACTCTGGTGATTGACTTTATCAAAATATATTTGATGACAAAAACACAGTAGTTACATAAAATAGTTTATACATATATACTTATTATTATATCAAGAACCACATTATGCTTATTCATCGTAAAATTTTCTTTCAGACTCAACCCAGAATGGGCCCTGTACCTATCTCAATATTTATTAATTTCGATAATTTTACAACATTTTCTAGTGTACTAAAGAAAGGAATACAAAAAAGTAAGCGTCAATATATTATTATGCGTAGAAGTACGACCATTACGATTCATGTTAAGGTAGATGTTGAGAATAACAACATTATTATGGGGGACAGGGTCCCATAAATCAGTCTTAGGCCCGGCGGACGGTAATTGGTTTATGTATGGCCCATGCGTCTAGCCGGACGAACCCGAAACAATTGTTTTATTGACGGCTGCCTCGACTGACGTTGCCAATGCCAAGGCCTTTGTTACGGCTCAAGAATACGGATGAGCAAAGCCGTGCGTCGCCCGTCACTCCTATCTTCGCGATGTTTTACATTAACTTAGAGGGAAACAATCCTTCTTTTTGTTTACATATTTAATAAATGAACTAGTCTGCCTTTTCTAATGTTAAAAGTGTGTTTAGTTTTATTTGCAATGGATTTTTTTTTATAAATTGACTGAGATGTTTCCTTATGTTAAAAGTATATTAATTTTAGCTGTGGTGGTAACTGGTGTAGCGTAACACATTTTGCTGAGTTATAAACCCCATTTTCATGTCCTGTGAATCTTAAGTATCTGTATTCTTTGCAATAAACTATTCCCTCAGTGTAGTATTATGTAACTTTAGTCTTTTGAAAGGTGGAACAGGGAAAATAACATGAGTGCTCCAATTTGAATAGAAGCTCCGAAATGTTCTACTAAGTACTTACCTCTTATAAACTTTATAAATTAAAGCGTAATTTGCTACCAAACGGTCGGCAAATAACAAAACGGATACATTGTGTCATTATCACATATATTATTTTAAATTATGTGTGATAAAATGATTTAGAATTTTAAAGTAGTCACACTAAATTCATTAATGGTCACTACGTTTTGAATAGATTTCCCGTTTCTCTATACCAGTCAGTCGGTATTTCCACTTAAGATTCAAACGTTGCGTCCATAAGTTATTCTTGAACGATATATTTACGTCAAATAGTTAATAGGTAATCTCATTATTTCTGCACACGTCTACGGTACAGCTAAGGACGCGCGGGAAAGGCGAGGACATCCAATGGATCACGTTGACAATTTATTGAGTTATAAATATGCAAAATCATGCTTAAGCTAAATACAGTCACACAATTTCGTAAAATGGGAACGTGGTGGCACATTCTGATCGGGCTGCAACTGTTTGTTAACACCTGACACTAGCTAATTGATGAATTTTGTCAGTATAATTATTATCTTTACTTAGTTAACTTAATCGGCCTCCGTGGCAGAGTGGTATGTTTGCCGGGTTTCGAAGTATCGTCTAATCACAGGTCCCGAGTTCGAATTCCGATGCGGAAAATGTTAGTATGATTAATACGAGTATATGTACCTAAATCATGGAATTTTATATGTATTTCTAGATAAAATATACTTATTTATGTATCAGTTAATCATTATGTATTGTACCCGTAGTAAATATTAAGTAATTGTTTTTTGATTAATGGTTCACAAAAAAACTTGTTAACATTCATAGTTAATAATCTGTGCCATTACCTTAGTATCCCAAAGCACAAGCGTTTCAGTGCTTACAGCACTTACTCAGAGGTGTGGAAATATTTATTTTATCGGAGATTTCCGCCGTTGCTTATGTGATTTAGATTTAAGACCGTAAATTTCGTAGAATAAAAAAAAATATAGAGTTAGGACACTAAAGATAAAGAATGCGCATATTCATTATGTGGTTAGGCAATTTTAAGTCATCAATAAGTCAGAGGTAATGCAGGATGTATTGTGATAATATTTGAAATATTATCCCTAAAATACTTAAACAATGAAAACACGTCTAATATCGTTTTATCTCGTCTCTACATTTTGTATGATAAAAAGAAAAATTCTTTATGATTAAGTATAAGATTTTAGTTAAAATCACTATAAAAATCTGGGGAAATAATATTATTGAAGTTCTCATAAAAGTTTCGAAGTCAATCTCTTCCTCACTTTCACGCGGTATGCAATGACTCTATTATTAGAAGCGCTACAATAAAGTTTAAAATAAAGATAAAAAGTACGTACCAAATCTTAGTTTTGCTCCGACGCTGTCACATGGCTCGCCTAGCCTGATTGGTAAGCGCACAATTCCAGTTTTCTTTTCACACTGTATAATCACAAAACGTCACTCGAGAAACATCACTGAAAAACGTTTGTTTTCGAACGCGTAAGTTTGTTGACTGATAAGGAGCGCGCGCAGCAGCCGTGCGGTTTCGACGCGCTCACGGCCACGATTGAGTTGAGTCGCTCTGTAGTCGATTCGGTACGGGGTTCGGTGTTTTGAATTAAAACGCCATACCAGTGCGGCTTTGGGTGACAGCTTCATCTTCTGCTGGCCTACTCCCACCCCGCCACTACGTATGCGCCGCGCCCGCGCCGCACGCCGCCGGCCGGCCTTTCGACGATAGGGCGACCGTAAAGTTAAACAAATTGGGGCCACATTTATTTCTTATATTTACACGCACACCAATCATTAAGTAAAACACTTACTGAACAGGTTTAAATCGCGTTTTTTTTTTAATTATTATTTTATAGGTTCCTTTTGCGCACGCTCCCGTTCAAAAAGTGATTTATTTAATTCAGGGTCACTTGCATCAACAGTCTTAATCCAAATTCTGTACTCATATCATCATTTATCCTGTTAAAAAACATCATTCCTTTTTTGTCAATCGTTTAAAGTCAAATAGAGATAGAATTAGGCTTAAACATGGTGAGCTTTTTAATTTGATTTAAGAACTTTGGTGCAAGTGGGCCTTAGTTTTCTTTTCGTTCTGCAAATAAATATAAAAGAACACTGCTCATTTTTTTAACCCCAAGCACGAACTTGACAGATCCGTAATCTTATCGCAATTGCCAAAGTTTCTATGGAAGAAGCCAGTTTGTTCTTATGTCCGGTGAGGGCGCTGTTTAGTTTCCATAGATACTTTCAGAGACGGTGGTGATACGATTACAGATCTGTCAAGTTCGTGCTTGGGGTTTTACTTTAAACTAAACTCATAGCATTTCAATAGACCTGTTAAACAATATTATAATACTGGTTATGGTGTTTTTAGAAAATATCATGAATTTCCCTGAAAATTAAACTATTGGCTATTAATATAGTATATTAAAAATTTTGTGCTTAATTAACACTTAAATCAGTGAACATCAATCAAGCCACCGCCCGGTTAAAGTTTTTTAAAACGTTAGTGATTTTCAATGTCTCAGATAAAGCTCAAAGTCAATTGGGGAATTTTGAAAGATTTCGATGACATGAGCTTCGTTAATTATTTTTTTAAACTGTAGTACAATTGTGTCCAATTTCCGTTAAACACTAGTCTCTATTTTGTCTAATTTTCACGTTGAATCATGTTTTATCAATCAAATGTTAATTATGATCATTACAGATGATAACTATACTAAGAACTAGTAATTAGTCTAGTTAATGTATATTAAATAACATAGTTAGTTCAAGAATATAAACTCCAAATTTAAAAATAAGTAACAGTCTTTTTAATGATATTATGGAAAAGAAGTATGTTAAATAAATAAAAAGACAAATGTTGCCAGATATTAGTCATTCACGTAAAAAAATTAAGAACTATGGTCACCCTAATAATTTGGAACAAATGCGGTTCTACGTTCAACTGAATAGACTTGTTGCATTTTATTTTATTTTTCGTTTTTTATTGAACCGGTCTGGACTGTCTTCGCCCACCAACACAACTCTATTTGGACGAAGATAGATGATTGGTGTTCATGATTAACGACTGGAAAGTAGCCACTTGACAATATTGGGTAAGTTACGAAACAAGGTTTGTAAAATTTAGACAGCCACCATTTTCTAATTCTATTTACAAAAAGTCTCTCATGCCGCCGGCTCGGTGCTGGACAGTAAAAGTTAATTACCCCAGTAAACTATGAAGTTCTTGCTTGTAGGTTCCGCTAATTTATTAATCGCTTAAGTACTACAAGTCAATTTAATAAAATTAAATTATACTTTATTCAAATTAACTATTGCGAGCTCTTTTGAATGAGTAATTTTATTTATTGTCGGAATAGTTTTGTGTCCTGTAATTTTAAACATAACCATTTAGTAGCTACTTTTTACTGCTGTATGGATGGCGCCGGTGGCTAGCGCGTTCAGCTGCGATCGTTGAAGTTAAGCAACTCATTGGATGGGTGACCAAAAATCTTCTATCTCGAGTTCCTCCGTGCTTCGGAAGACACGTTAAGCCGTTGGTCCCGGCTGCAGCTGCTGTCGTTAGCACCCGCAGGGATCCACAGGGAAGGCCTGTGCCCTAGCAACAGGGACATTAATAGGCTGATGATGATGAAATAATTGTCCTTAAGGAAACATTAATTGATCATGACAATGAAAAATACAATGTCAGTTTTAAACATTTTATAATATTATTTTGTAACCTTTTGGTGCTCTATCACTACCAACCTTGTAAGTAAAGGATATAAAGGTGTAAAAGACATTGTTATTATATTGAATTTACTTAAATACTTGACCAACTCATGTATAAAGTAAAGCAGAAAACTAAGATATCTACTTAAAACTACTATTTTAATAGGTATCGTTTATAACTTTTGAATAAAGTTGAGTCATCTGTTCGTCACTTTTTGCGATAAAAATTAATAGCATCTTAGTGACCGACTTCAAAAAAGGAGGAGGTTCTGTTTTTGACTGTATATATAAATATATATGTGTATGTTCACCGATTTTTCCGTCAATTGTGGACCGCTTTCCAAAATTCTTTTTTTATCGAAAGAGTGCACTTCCGAGGTGGTCCCATTGAAACCAAGTCAAGATCTGATGGTGGAATCCGGAGAAATCGAGGGAAACCTCCTTATAAATTATTATTACTTGGACGATATAATTTTCACGATACTTTATTTATATGTACAGCGACTAATTAAAGATTTCTGGTCCAATTTGAGTGATTCTTCTTTTGTTCTATTGAAGATACTTGCCGTTTGGTTCCACAAAAAATATTTTGTTTGATCCAATAGTTTTTATTTAATGAGAATTTTTGGTTATTGTTTACTTGGATGATGTAATTTTCACTAAAATGGATAAAATATTTTTTTATAACAAAAAATAAAACTGTATTCAAAATCGAAAATGGACCTAAAAAGTAAAAAATAATATCTGGTTCTTGATTTGGTAGTGGGGCGGGGTCAAGATTGAAACATTAAATAGATTTTCGTTTCTGATCGGTAATATGACGTCTTTCAATCTTGACCCACCAGACTTCCAAATCATGAACCAGATATTTTTTTTTACTTTTTAATTCCATTTTCGATTTTGAAGTCGTTTTTATTATTAGCTTAAAATTTTTATGTAGTATTAGTAGTACGGTAACTACTATAAGTATAATTTACAGTTGTTGTTGTTTTACTACAAAATGTTACAAGATGTCATCTTCATTTTGTCATCATTGTGACCAAATATTATCAAGATAAGTTCTCCTACCTAGCACATACCTATTATAGCTACAATAGAAACGATTAATTTCATTAGGTTTAGTTTCAAGCATACCTTATCTGTTTTCCATGACACAATTGCACAAAATACTAAAAATGCCTATCTTATCTTAGGATCATTGCGAGGCTTAGGTTTGTTTAATTGTTTGTAAGATAGGCCAACAATCCATACTATGTCATTTGTAAATACACTGACCATCACAAAAATCAAACATCCTATCTGGCCCTAGACACAAACAAAACGTACTTTTGAACGCTTATCTTTGAAATTATAAAGAGCATTAGTGCAAAATAGTGATGTAACGAATGTCATTTTTTGAACATTCGCGAATGCGAATGCGGATGCGAATGTCTGGTACCGACATTCGGGAATGCAAATGCGAATATTTAGTTTTTTTTTTTAAATTGGCGCTAATTGTCTATGGCGTGGTGGCAGTCTCGTTAGAATTGCCGAGTTGATATGAACTCGTCCGACTGAAGTGTCATTCCGCTCGCACCGGTCTTTCCGTAAACAAAACAAGTGAATTTTGAGGTTAGTGATTGTGAGTGGTAATAGTGATTTATTAACATGAGTATATCGAATCCTAGTGAAACATGGACTTATTTCACACTTTGCGATGCTGAACGAGCTAAATGCAAACTGTGTAACAATGAATATTCAAGGAAAGGCAGAACTACAACTTCTTCAAATTGTTTTTTGCTAATATTCATATTCGCAAAACATTCGCAGAGATTTTGCGAATGCGAATGTGAATGCGAATATTCAAAAATATGCGAATATTCGCGAATGCGAATGCGAATATTCGTTACATCACTAGTGCAAAAATAGGGTGGGTCGATTTTTGTGATGACCAGTGTATGAATTTATTTCTGTTTTCCGCCTATTATACTTTCACACTTGAAAATAAAACTTTTTGGGACAGATTTTATTTTGTTTATTTATTTATTTTGGAAGGCCACTAACAAATTGTGTGATAGTCGAGCCTCCCTGCGAGTGTGGCTGGTCGGACGGTGCCAGCGGATGTTGCAAACTTATTCAGGATGCATTTCACGGTGGAGTCTCCTTTAAAGACTGATAAGCGGCAGGTGTTCGATGCTGGAGGTCTCTCTGGGAACGGTGAACTTACTGTGTTTTTCACAGCGAAAGAAGTTTCTTCTATAATGAAAAACATGCCCAAATGTAGGTCACCGAGCCATGACGACCTCAGCACCGAACATCTGAAGCATGCAGGGCCGCATTTACCGAGAGTTCTTGTACTGTTATTTAATCTATGCATAAGTCATAGCTATTTTCCACTGGATCTCATGCAAACAATTGTAGTACCAGTGGTTAAGATAAGACGGGGGATGCCTCTGATGTATCCAACTACAGACCCATCTCCCTGGCGACTATTGTCACTAATGTTCTGGACGGTCTGCTTGATAAACAGCTAGCAAGTCATATGGAACTGTATGATGCCCAGTTTGGCTTCAGACCTGAACTATCTACGGAAAGTGCTATCATGTGCCTTAAGCAGACTGTTCAGTATTACACGAAAAGAAAATCTCCAGTATTTGCCTATTTTCTGGACCTGTCAAAGGCGTTTGGTGTCCTATGGGATGCTTTGGCAGAAGCTAAAAAGGAGACAACACTGCCACCTGAAGTCACATCCTTGTTCCACTACTGGTATTATAATCAGAAAAATAGAGTGAGAAGGTCAGGAATTCTATCCGACGTGTATGAGATGGAATGCGTGGTGAGACAGGGGGGTTAAGCTCGCCTCGCCTTTTCAACCTATACATGAATCGCCTAATCGGTGAGCTCAGCAGTACTCATACAGGTTGTTATATTGATGGAGTTTGCTTGAACAATATAAACT